TACAGTCCTAAAAAGATTTTAATATTTGTTTAAAAAAATACATTTTACAGTAATACAGTTTTATTTAATTTAATAAACGCACTATTTGCTTTGAGTAACAATTGTTTTTTAAATGTATCAGACAACATCGTCATAGAAGAAATTGTGTTCTCACCAACCACGATACTTGATTCTTCTTAAGGGAAAATTTATGAATACATAAAAAAACCATTTACCTATTTTATAAATGGTTAAATGATAGACATGATTCCATTTCAAATGTAAAATGGAAATGGTTTTCCAAAAAACTATTTAAAATGGAAAATGCAAAATGCCATTTCCATTTTAAATATGTATTTAAAATGGAACTATTTTAAATATTACCCAGCCCTGGTTACGAGTATATGCCTTCTTCACCCCTCAGCAGGGGGGAGGGGGAGGTGGACAGAGGTCTGCCCCGACAATACAATCGTAGAAGTCGTGCGCCCCTCAGCAGGGGGGGAGGGGGAGATGGACAGAGGTCTGCCCCGACTTCAAATTTCGTGCATTCTGTTGGACTCAAACGATACCAAGTGCATGCGCACGAGGTCAGACAGCATGAAGAAGGCATACTCGTAGCACTACATGTAGTCGGTATGACAGATTTCCTAACCTGAATAGTCATCAACTTTAACGCTTAATATCTCGGTTCGTAGGGCAGAGCGACACTTTTTTCTGCCAGATTCTTTCGTTTCGTGCAAAAAGCGTCGAATAAGCCTAGTTTCATTAAAATCGGTGAGGTCGGCCGTTTTCTCCATAAATACCGTTTCTTAATTTATTGCAACCTTTTAGTAACCGACAGTACATTATATACCATTTTCCTAGTTCATCGTATGCGATACTTTTCAAGAATAGGGGCCGGCACATATTTGTACTACACGTCTATCTACAGTTGTCGGAATGGATTCCGATCGGAATTGTTCAATTATTCCCTAGATTTCTATTGTGTTTTTTAGGGAAAACGGAATAATTCCGATCGGAATCCATTCCGACTTTGTTCCATGATAGGTATCTGCTACTTAAAATCGGAACGGAACGATGCTGATTGGTTGCCTCTACCACTTCACTTTTCCGATTCCGTGTTCCGATTCCGTTTTCCGTGCCATGGGACGGCACCCCAAGCGCATAAGGGTCTACGCACAATAGGAAAAATATTAGGAACAGATATTAAATATAATAATTTTAACCTGTTAGAAAGCGCACATTCCACAGTACACAGTTCTGATAGGTTAAAATTCTTACATTTAATATCTGTTCCTAATATTTCTCCTATTGTGCGCAGACCCTTAGGGTCTACGCACAATAGGAGAAATATTAGGAACAGATATTAAATATAAGAATTTTAACCTGTCAGAAAGCGCACATTCCACAGTACACAATTCTGATAGGTTAAAATTCTTATATTTAATATCTGTTCCTAATATTTCTCCTATTGTGCGCAGACCCTAATACATCGTTTATCTTTGGGTCACTGATATGTATATATGAATAGCGAACGCCCTATACCAGCAATGCTAAATTTTTGTGCGGAATAGAAGGGCCGCCATGTTGACTCAGGTATGTCATTTGAGAAGTGAGGAGAGTGTGGAATGAAGGTTAGCGGTTCCGCGGGAGCTTTGAAATCAGTATAAACATAACATTATCGCTTGGTGGCGAATAACGTCGATGATTGCATAAAATGATAATGCAATAAAATGTAAATGTTTGTAAATATCCCGGTAAACGAAAAAGAATTAAAAAGAATTGAAATTTGTAATTCTTTCAATATCATTTTTGAACACCTAAGAAGAATATTGAAATGCAATAATTCACAACTTTCTTGGCGTTCATTAAAATCGTCAGTAAATAAACTTGAATAAATCTGTACAAGTTTTAAATCAACGAGCGATTGAAATTTATTACGGTTTTATCGTTTATTGGCGTCGATTGAATTTCATTGAAATGTTCAGTAAATTTTAGTAAATCTCTATTAATTTAAATTAATAATTAATAATAATAATAATAATAATAAATAATAATAATAATAATTAATAATTTATTATTATTTTAATTTTTTACTTTCATCTTTACAAATAAGTTTTTCCATGCAAGAATAAATATTGGTTAAACTTATCGCATAACCTCAATAACGTAATTTATTAGCAAATTTCCCTTACCGATGAAGAGTTCTTTGCACCGATGCAGTCTTCTCTGCCTTTTTCCCACAGAAATAGCACTTCATATTTTTCACGTCGCAATAACGCGCGTCATGAGAGCCCGAGTCGTCGAGGGGTGCAAGATGACGAGCAATCGTCAGAACTAAATGTAAACATACGAATGCACCCGACAGATACCGACAATTCCCGAAAATGACATAGTCGAGTCAACATGGCGGCTCTAAGTCGGCACACGAATGCAGCCCATCCGCTATCCATATATACATATCAGTGCTTTGGGTGCTTTTCAATTACTCAACAC